TTAATGAGGTTGTTTCTGTACTGCATTTTAGGTACTGTAATTACATGTCAAGGTGTACCAAGTTTGAGAGCTTGTTTTGGGCCGAATATGTTTACCGAGTGTACCACTTGCAGCAATAGGACAAGAATACAGTTACAGACAATGTTATCTTACAAAATCATGTAATTTGGTATTGACAATTGATTCATGTATACAAAAAACTGTAGTAAATGTTGGTCTGCATGTTCCTTTGGTAAGCACGATGAGTGCAGTGTGCATCTTTAAACATCCTTGTTACCAGCAAAAGGGTTCGGCAAAGAAAACTATGGAAAATTTAGCTATACCAATAGAGTCATTAACACACAGGAACATCTTTTAAACCAAACATCAAACTGCAGGAAAAACTAAGTTTGCTCTTAAAAGACAAGAAACAGGTCAGAAAGTCTAACCGCCAGACATCTGAAAAAAACAACAGACGTCGACAGGTGGAGCAGCTCCAAAAGAAAACCGAAAGAAGAAGCTCTATGAGAAGCAGAAGGGAGAACCTATGAGGCTGGAGGCTTCTGAAGTGCTAAAAGTATTTCTAATGACAAAAAAGTAGGCTAAAGTCCCTGAAACCTGTCAGGAACAGCTCGAACAGTTGTTTAAAAACTTTAACACTTGTTTTCTCGGAATGTACATTTTCCGTCTTTGAGAAAAGATATCTCATGATGTATTTAACCAATTGTCCTGAAATTTTCAGGGCTTATTCTTTTATTAGAGCTGTCTTAATTAAGCATAGGAAATTTCTGTATCTTGTGTGGAATACATTTTATGACAAAAAATGTTATCGAAAAAACCTATGTTAACTTTGTACCTCTGCTGTGACCACTAGATTTATCATACAAAAAAGTTCTATGCTCATTTAAGATACTGATGCCTATACTACTTACTGATAAAATTTCTTAAAATTCCAAGCAATTTATAAGCAGATATATTTTCTCAAATGCACCCTAGTTTTGCACAGCATGTGGTATGATTGCCGGCCTGGTGTCAGGTTACAAAGGACGTTAGGTACTAGTGATTAGTATTTTTAGTTTCTATAGGTGATAAGCTTTCTACTGATATATAGTTTGTCATAACTCTGGTGAATATCTTTAAAATTACAGCCATTTCAAAAATGGCCATCAATCCATATGTACCCTTCAATACGATTTTTCTCAGTGGCCAAAAACTCTATATAACACTTATGTTTATATAATAAATATATTTTTTATTCAAACATGTTTCGCATTGTCAAACAACGAAGAGAAGTAAACTTCCCGCTCGTATATACAGGTATGCTCGAGCACGCGAAAATTCCGAGAACATAACAAATTTCCAATTTTTGAGACGGGTCTCACAATAGGGGGGGACATCCCCCCCCCCCCACCGGTCACGGCGCCACTGTAGCGAGCAAGGCAGCAGACTAAAAGTTGAGTAAAACGATACAGCTGTACTGTGCTCAACCTGTCTCTATAGAAAAAAACCATGACCAGCCGACAATTTAAAAAAATATAGTAAAAAACAAATTCCGAAAATACAGGACATCTTGTAGCCTGCGAATACAGACGCCTCACATCGGGCGAAATGAAGCGCTACATTTCGCCCGATGTGAGGCGTCTGTATTCGCAGGCTAGACTTCTTGAGAATTTAATATATAATTCAAAACAAGACGCAGTTTGAGACTGTAAATTTTCGACTTTATTTCAAAGTCATCTTCAGACAGAATGAAATACAATACTTTACAACATATATATACAACGCACAGAGAGAGAGAGAGCATCTGTCATGTGGGCGGAAAGAAGGATTAACCAAGCGAATCGAAACATGATAAAGAAATTAGTAAAAACTGAAAATGGATTATTTAGCTATATTTACAACAATGTTTATATCAAGGATTAATGTAAGGTAAAAATGAAAGACCCAACAAGTAGAAGAAGATTAAGTTAGAGTGTTATGTGAACAGTTGTAGTTCTTTACTAGCTTTAAGTCCAGTGTTAAGAAAAGGTTTGTTGTGTTTGATAAGCAGTGCTTCTAGAAAAGCAAGAATGTTGTAGTTGTTAGATTTGGTAATGTGAAGTATTCTGTAGCTGTTGAAAACAAGGTTTTCAATAGGAGAAGAGTTGTCAGAAGGCAAAGGAAAATCGTTGAGTAATGTGAACTGGTCTTGTAAAATAGCTAAGAATTGAGCATGTTCACACTCAGAAAAATGTTGGCCCATTGCACTAGAAGAGAGCCTAGTTGCATGCTCTTTCAAACGTACAGAAAGGCATCTTTGTGTCATGCCAATATAGGTTTTGCCACAACCAGGGCAAGCAACCTCGTATACAAGATTACTACGAGATAAAGGAGAAAGTTTATCTATGTTGGAAACAAAATAAGAGAGTTTTTTAGTGTCATAAATAGTGATGAATTTAACCGGTTTAGAAAGAAATCTTTGTATTTTATTAAGACATGATTTTAAAAGAAAATCGCCACGGTTTCCGAGATAAGGAATACGAATCCAAATTTTAGGCAACATATCATTTGTGTCATAATTAACGGCATTGGAAGTTGAACTATCAATATATTTGGTTTTAAGCTTTTTAATCAAAAGGTTTCTAACGCCATTAGGATAACCATTCCCAGACATAAAAGATTTGATGGTTTCAATTTGATTGTTGAAAAGTGTTTTAGTACTGCAAATTTTAAAAGCCCGGTAGAACAGAGATTTTACCAATGCAGTTTTGCGATGAAAAGGCTCAAAACTTGAAAAATGTGAATACTGACCGGTGTGGGTGTCCTTACGATAAATGTCAGTACCATCTACCGAGACTTTTATGTCCAAAAAATGAACTACGCCATCGGGAAATGTGTCAACTATGAAATTTAAGCCGTTCGGATCGAAACTATTGAACTTAGCTAAAACGGCGGAAATATTGGAAGTTTTATCAAAACAAGAGTGTCATCAACGTAACGTTTATAGAATTTTATAGTACCATCGGCAATCAACTCGGAAACTATTAATCTTTCAAATTCAGTTAAAATTATATTAGCTAAGACAGGTCCTAATGATGAACCCATAGAAACGCCGTCTTTTTGGACATAAATTTGCTCGTCAAAAGAAAAGGCAGTTTTGTTGCAACAATCCAAAATAAGTTTTTTCAAAGTGCGTTTTTTCAACGTGGTACAATTAATTCGTCTTTATAAATACGATCTAGAATAATTTGACTGTGCGGGAAAGTGGAACATTGGTAAAAAGGGATTCAACATCGAAAGAAACGAACTGGTAGTCTTCTTGAAACAAATGTTTGGGAATATTGTTAATATTGGTCACCGCATCAAAAGAATCAGAAAGAGAATGATCATTTAAAGTAAGAGGATTTAGTAAAGAAGATAAAAATTTTCCAACGTTGTAGTGTGGAGTGTTAGTAGTGTCAACTATTGGTCGGAATTTAGGTAAAGTGTCAAATTTCTTGTGAGTCTTTGGCAAGCCGTGTGCTCTGCCAAAATGAGCTGTAATAGGTCTTAGAGCGTCAAGTTGTTCGAAAGTAATTTCATTACGTTTGTGCATGAAGTTTAAGTAGGTAGTTCTGTAAAGAGTGAAGTCTAGTTAATGTCGGGTCATAATCCAATTTCTTAAACTTAGAGGAATCAGAAAAAAGAGATTTGATGGAAATTACATAATCAGAGCGATTAATGAGCACAATGCCATTTCCTTTATCAGGCTTAAATTAAGGATGGCAAAAGTTTCGGTTAGTTTATTTAGAATGTTTATCTTCTTGCGCCCTAGCTTAAACTCCTTCAAGTCAAGATCAATATAATTATAAGTGAAGGAGCGAAGAGAGTTCTTAATCTTATCTTGCACGTATCTTCCTTCCTTGAAAATATCCAAACGTGATACCTGTCTCCAAACGTCTTCAGCCACAGCCATGATTTCTAGTTGGTTAGGTCGAGTTGCCAGGCCATATATATCTGAGTCCCAACTTTTCTAGTTGGTTAGGTCGAGTTATAAATTATATTTATGAATATCTTATATCTCATTCTCTAATATTCCAAGTCTCCTGGATGAAATGGTCAGCGGTTCTAACATGGTTGTAATTCATATAATACCATATGTAGTTGCTCATCTGCAAATATAAAAGTGGTTAGCACTATTTTCCATCCAGCAAACTGCCCTATCGATTTTTTGAAGTCGTTTCTTTTTGGATTTTTTTTTATTAATTAGGTTTGGGTTACAGTTAGGGTTGAGGTTAGGGTTAGGGGTTAGAGTAAAGGCAACCTCGTCCCCAGGGCCTGGAGTAAGGGTAGGGTTTGGGTAAGTTACATAGCCATTTAACACCTCTTCCATCTTCCGGAAATGACGTCAGGTCAGTTTGCTGGATGGAAAATAGTGCTAACCATTCATATAGAGTCACAGAGCGATATAAACAATGAAATAAATGTTTAACTATCAGAACTAGATAGTCATTTATAGTAATTTAAATTGGCTAATTTACAGCATTATTGTGATGGTGTGTTAAAATTTGAAATTCATGAACTTTTTGGAGGGGGGGGGGGGGCGGAGGGGCAGCTGCACCTCTTGCCTTTTTCTAGGAGGGGCAGAAATGCCCTTTGTGGTATAAAATACTACCTGATAGATTACATTTCCAGTGATGTTTTTTGGGCAAAATCATGAGGTGTGATCTTGAATGTGACCTGTTTGCTTTTATTGGCAAGTCAACACATAATTGTATCGTAGGTTTATATCTTCACCGGGGTCTATAGAGGTGTACGTCTGCCCCCCTTGCCTTTTTATCGTTCCGGCGTCCCTGAAAGTAAGTGAATATATTTCTTATTTAACCCATTTTATTTATCTTCATGTAACTATTGAACGTTTCTTGTATAATAGTTACGGGAACCACTGAGTATTTTTATAAAATACAAAACGACAGTAACTTTACTTTTGTAGCTTTAATGAATCTACGTTTCGACTATATTTTAGTCATCATCAGGACAGATTAGTGTAATGTTACAAATACTGATAAATATATAGTTAAGAAGGAGGAGCTTAATAGTGTCACTGAAATATGATCAGTTCCTTCGAAGCTAAAGCGCCAAGCTGAAGCTAAAGGCGCCAAAGCTTCAAAGGAACTGATCATATTTCAGTGACACTGTTAAGCTCCTCCTTCTTAACTATATATATATATATATATATATATATATATATATATATATATATATATATATATATATATATATATATATATATATATATATCAGTATTTGTAACATTACACTAATCTGTAAAATATAGTCGAAACGTAGATTCATTAAAGCTACAAAATGTTATTTGGAGTTACTGTCGTTTTGTATTTCTTGTATATGTCATGTTGATTTTTGGTATTCGATAAATTCTGTTTGGTTCATTTACATTCGTGAGACCGTCTCACATGTGACATGTGTTATTGTGTTTGTCACATATGCTGATTTTTGGTATATATTTTTTCAGTATTTACGCTCGGTAGCTTTCGTTAGCCTCGTCTACGACTCTGCGTTTTATTTTGTGGCCTTGTCGTCGGTAAGAAAGCACAAAGGTCAAAGGTTAGTCTATAAATTCTGTATCTATTTCGTTCGTTGATTTGCATATGACGACATTGATTTGCATCTGACGATTCTTTACTGATGAAACAGACTGTTGCGGAATTTTGAGGTAAGCGAAATTCTACATTTGCTCGATCTTTATGATATTGAGCACTCTTTGCGTTTCGTATACACAAACCTACTCGTATATATATATATATATATATATATATATATATATATATATATATATATATATATATATATATATATATATATATATATATATATATATATATATATATATATATATATATATATAT